TCAGATGCCGATTTGTTTAAAACAATAAAGACAGATGAAAAATACAAACGAACAACAAAGAAGATATGTTAAATGAACTTTTTGTTCTTTTGTGTCATATATTCATCTTGAGTAGATTGGTTCTATGATATACTCATTTTCGTTGTTTGTTTTTATGTGAATGCGAATATATTTTGATTCGTTAGAAAAACACATGAAATACAGGAACACAGATAATAAAGGCATTTAGTCTTCAAAAAAGGTATCATTAACCACTCTGGCAGAAAAAACGCCAGGTTCTGATTTTCACTTTTTGAACCTGGTCAGGCGACAGTATTTGCACCTGTCGTCATAGCAACAAAACTTTATTAACCGTTGATCTCGAATCACATATTCCCTAAACTTTGCGAATTAGTCTTATTCAACGAAGACTTTTTTATCACGTTAACATGCATAAAAAAACTGAGATATTCTTCCTCTCTTTTTCTGACCAATAGAATGTAGTTGTTCTTCAGCAAGCGGGAAAATAATGTCAACATCAGTAAGTGATTGAAATGCAGAAGAGTCATGAGTATGATACTTTAAATAGCTTCGAGAGTACTACTATCAACGTAATTTTTGCTGGGGGATAATACAGGTAGGTAGAATATGATTATAAATAGAAACATTCAGTTGCTGTAATGTGTGATATGGGATAGATGTTGTCGTCTATTTGTCACGTTTTCAATTGGGAAGTAGCTCTAATTAATAGCGTCAGAAGCATTCTTTGGACGGCTTCTGGAAAGAAAATCACCACCTTGTCAGTGCTAGGTCCGCTTTTTACCTGCTTATACCGCGAGCCAGCAGGTTTAGGCCTCCCATAATTTTGACTCCATCAGGCGTATAAATACGGATGAATGCGTCGGAAATTTGTTTGAAGCTCCTCTGTTCTTGAGACGCTCTGTCGTTTATAAATCTGCTTGTTTCCCTAAACAACAAGAAAACCAATCAGTAAATAAAATAAAACTTCCTCTCATTTTAGATACATATGTTGTTTGCTTAAAAATTGTCCAGGAATTATGTACGTATTTTCCAGTATTGGCAGTCTAATTGATGGGAAGCTTGTGAAAGTGATTAGCTGAGCAAAGTCCTTCTAAAAAAAGGTTTCTTTCCCGAAACAAATAGCTGTTCGAAGATTTCTCCTGTTTTTCAGTGCACGAAAAGTTGTTCGGGTATAATTGGATCAAAGTATGTCGAGTGTTCTTGCTGCTGATAAAATGATTCGAAGTAAGAAAAATATTTGTTGAAAAGCTTTGATTGTCTACTACTGAACGTTGAGCAAAATTTTTTCACGTTAGTAGAAACATGGACAGAAAATCATAAGTTCTTAATAATAGAGCAGTTTTTAACATGATTTTAGATAAATATGGCTCAACATTCATTCGGTAGCCGATCACAACCAAGATATGTCCATCATGGTCTATCCTCAACTGGAAAGAGAGATTTACAAAATGGTAAACTTGTTCTATATTCAACAAATCAGCTGTAAAATGATCTTTTTTACCTTCTACAAGTAGTATCTTGTCCATCTCAATCGTATGCTCAACGTCGAACACAAACAAATAATAACGAAACTAGTTTACGAGATGCAGTTGTTGACCAAATATTATTTTGTCAAAATTCATCGAAAAATGCAATTCAAATCTGTGAAGTATTTGTTTACATCAAATTCTTGACTGCACGTTTGCTCTTACTATTTATTTTCGTTCTTCAATTAGAACGGTGAGCAATCATCGATAACACTAAAACTGGACCATAGTGAATTAATAGAACTTGATTTAACATCATCCAGTTACAACTATAACACGTCTCGGATCAAATTCAGTACAGATTATGCTTGTATTATTACGAGTGCTAGACATCCACACGCGTTTACAGGTTTGTAGAATGGCAGATAGAGGTACATTTTTTTCTAATCTATCAAACAGAATCTTAAAGTTTGACTATCGAAAAAATTATGATATCGAGAAAATTCAAAATAATTCTTAAAAGTTTAGAATAGAATGTTTTCAAACAATTGTTTCATTACATTCTACTCATACCATCTTCATTTTTTTCTCATTTTAGTTAATTTGATAGATGAATTATCAGCATATGATAAATTTGCTGCAAAAATCAATGATTACTATAATAAAAGTATCGATGGTCTACGTTTAAAAGTTCAAAAAGAAGATATTCGTCCGAATTTTTGTTGTGTAACATACGATAAAGATAAAATGGATGATGTCGTTTGGAATCGTACTCAAATATTAGAATATGATGTTGAAACGGATTCCTGTAATGTTTATTACGTCGATTTAGGTTCCTGGGATGAATATATACCACGTGAACGTTTAAGATATATCACAAAATGTTTTCAACGAGAGCCGGTTCGTGCTCTAACATGTCGTCTAGCTCGTTTACAGCCATTGACAAAAACAAATGGTATATGGACAGATCAGGTAACAAAAACATTTACCGATGTTATTAACAATTGTCCGGCAAGAATTGAAATCGTTGATTGTTCACAAAATGGAGCGTTTTATGTTAATTTGTTTGTATTCAATTCTGGTCAACATGTTTGCGTTAACGATTTCTTGTTACATCTTAAAATGGCTGAAGCTGTTGAAGATAGTTTAAGTAGAGAGTTACAGGTTAGAATTATCTAATTTATTTCCTTTATATAAAAACTTTTCGTTTATTATCTGTAACACCTGTCTTTTTTTATAGGATGATGGAATCGATGAAAATGGTAATGCTATACATCCACTGATATTGGAATTTTTTAGAGCAGGAGAGTGAGTGCGAAGATGATCTATTATGCTGTATTGCCAACTGTGTTTGAAATTGTCATTTTTTACTTTTATGTTGTAGGACAGAAAAGGAAAAATTTAAGTCAAAACAATTAAATGATCTGGCGGAAGCAGATGAAAAGAAAAAACCACAAGAACAATATGTTAAAATAACACCAGTAACACCTTATGATAAATTAATATTTGCTCGTTATAACACGTGGGTCATGTTGCCTTGGTTTAGTATTTCCGCATTATTGAAAGGACTTGATGAAGATACCTTGAAAACATTTGTATGTAGAACTATGCACTGGACACTAAGAATAATAAATGTCAATATTTTTCTTTATTTTTTCTAGGCAATAATGAATAATTTTCATCCAACACGTATTAGTCCACTAACAGATCCAATATTATGTGCAAATTTAGTTAAATCAATGGCATCTATTGATCAATGTCCAAGAAGTAAACATCGAACAAGTGAAATAACATTATACAGTATTGATTGTGTTAAAAGAATGTTAAGATATTATAACTATTCGGAAGCAATTACTTTTGAACTGTTGGACCAAGCTAGAATGGCGGAGCAAACAAATGATAAACAATTTTGGTATTCGATTGATGTAAGTTGAACATTTTGCAGATATGACTCATGTGATTGTAGGAAGTAGTATAAAGTTTAGCGACTTCTTTGCTCTTTCTGATGATATATAGACTGAATCTAAACATTTCCATATTGTTGTGTTTTTGAAATGTTTGAGTTCTCTTTTTTATTTGTAGAACAAAAAATCTAAACGACGAAAAGAAAAAACGTTATCGGCAGCTGAAAAGAATGAAATTGATATTTTGAAAACATATAAGTAAGTTTTCTACCAATTGGATGTTTATTATACATCGTCTTCTATCACCTAGATGCTAAAACATAGCTCTGCTCACTCTGATACATATTAGACATACTAATCTTAGAAACTGTTCAGCATGGAAAGTTGGAAATTAAAGTGTTCGGAACGTTCTTACTGTATATTCTTATAGAATATTTATAGGGTTATTTTTATCCATTAAAGAAAACGAATATATCTGGATTCTTGTAAATTCATAGTCGTGATAAAAAATGGCCCTCTTCGACTGTAAGCTCACAATAAGAATGCATAATTAGTAGGGGTGCCAATGATATAATTTTCATCATCTCTATTGTTGTTCTCCAAAGTCTTTTGTTTTTTAGGAACGATCTTGAAGAACAATTGCAAACACTCGATGAAAATGATACAGATATTGACCCATTACGTGTTGATTTAAATGAAACAATCGATAAAATTCATCGTATTACGTGTTATGATGGTATTATTAGTGGTGCTACGAATCAAAAATAAACAATGTAACCGATATTTCCATACTTTCTTCTGTGATTCATTTTGTATTTTCTCATATTTGTGCTGTATACGCATGTTTTCTCTCTCATTCTGACACCTATGTGTCCGATTTTTTTCGTTCTTGCAATATACTACTTGTCTTTCTTTGTTGTTGTTCTCGTTTATTCTATTAAATTTCTGTTCATTGCATTATTTTTAAATTCATATATATATATATATCATATTCAACCACTTACACCGCTGGACAGCCTTTTCTAATAAAATCTGCTATTTTAAGCCTTACAATAGTAAAATGCTTTGAATTGATTATTAATACTTAGCAAAGTACAATGTCAAAAACAAGCCCATGGCGTCAAAAATCGGAAAGAAATGACTGATTAAGCGCGATTAATCAGCCGATTCATCATGCGCTTAACCGTGATTTTTAAGCAGAATTTTCTCCTGATTAACTGGGACTTTGGGAAGAAATCGGCGGTAAATTTCAATCAAGTGTGGTTTTTACTGCAATCGTGCATTTAGAAAAATCGACAGTTTCTTGATGAACTCAGCAAAAATCGCGCTTAATTGAAATTTACCGCCGATTTCTTCCCAAAGTTCCAGTTAATCAGGAGAAAATTCTGCTCAAAAACCACGATTAAGCGTACGATGAATCGGCTGATTAATTCGGATTAATTGAAGATTTTCACTATATCGGCAGTCTCCACTTTAACAATCTCGCATATCATCAAGAGTATTAAGCGGTAGTTTATTACCTGCTAATCATGCAAATAATCGAAACAACACCGATTTACTAATTCAAAATGATATTTTATTGTTACTTCATCACTGATATCATCTAAAGCGCGTTTACAACTATGAATTCAAACAGAAAACCTTATTACTATTTCAAATTCTAATCCTTCCATGATTAAGGAAAAATGGTTGTTCAACTATTACCTGTGTTAGTTACTATAACAGATTTGAGTGTCACTGAAGGTCTAGTACATGGTACAGCCACTCTTAAGAATAAATTATATGGTTCCCAACAACAAAAAACGGCTGTACTATCGAATATATGGCGGAATGTAGAGATATGCGCGGGTACCGTTTTCCTACACGTACCTGACTTATGCTTAAAAATTTTCTCCTTTCCGTTTTCCAGCTAAAAACTTTTGTTTTTCGGCTGGAGATGTCAAGTTATCATTACGTTCTTAAGTAACTCTTTTAAAACTTCATGTATTTTAGCTAAAATCGTATCTTTTTTCTCTAAAATTTTGCGGTTTTCCACTAAAACCTTCCGGTTTTCGGGTAAATTAAAAAAATGAAACTCGTATCGGACAACTTCATACCCATACTCAACCTTCGGGTTGGATTGCACATCTCTAGCGGAATGAATACAAAATAAAGATTTTCAGGCGATACTTCGTTTTGTAGTGAATGATTGGTGTAGTTAGGTTGAATAGTATTATCCCGATATTGTATTAAGTAAGACGAAACAACTTCTTTAACATTTAAACAATCGTATCATTAACTCTTACACTCTCTCCGTTATTTATTCTTGAAGTCATCCATATTAAGTGCCTGGTGATATTGTTGATTTAAAAATTGATGGTGGTAGTATATAATACAGATTTTAGGGCTCTTGGTAAAACTGTCAATCAAAGCATCGCTAAAAGTTGTTAGATATTCAATTTTAACCAGATATGTTGAACAAATACTCATACGCGTTTTGTTCGCGTTCAATCTGCTACTCTATCTATTTCCAAACTAAATAATTTGAGTAATAAAAAAATTTGCGATATCTTTATTAAATTAGACCACATTCATGGGGCTATTAAATTGATGAGAAATAACGGAAAGTACTGATGTTTTTTCACTAACCGTGATCAAACTTTGTTAACCATTATTTGATAAACAGCTGTTGCATAATCTTTCCCTACTTACAGATTTATATCATTGCTATAGGTCGCAAGTAAGATAGTAGAAAAAATTATCCACAACAAATCTCTCTCGATTAAGATATATACACAGTGGTGGCGTGATCGTGTGTCTGGGGGACACTCCCCTGCTTTCAAAAATGTTGTTGGAAATTTGCTGAAAATTTTAGCCAGAACTATGAGAAATTTACTCTATTTTTGTGAAAAAACGCAAATTTACTCCAATTTTTGAAGCTACAGCCTACCTGCTCCATCCTCTTCGTACCGCTACTGCGTATACATGAAGCTTTCTTTGTTGTAGGAAAATTAACTTATACTATGTGAAGGCCATTGTGCTAATGCTTAAGATCTAGTAATATCTTGCAGATCTTTGAACTTTGCTTTTACTCTCTCTCCACTTTTTCCGAGACTTAATACACTTTTGATAAGGCAAGACACCGTCATCATGCCTGGTTAAACTTTTAATAAGCTAGTAATAAATGATGCATAGTAAAGTCATGTTGCTGTTTTATTAAAAAATCAGCAGAGATGTCAGAATATCAGTACGCAGTGTATTCTCAAAAAGACACTACTTCCTTGCTGGGCTTGCTGGGCTTGGTGTATTCTCATTGACAATACAATTGCTGGGCTTGGTATATTCTCAGTGGGAATGCACGAGGATGCATTAAGCCCAGCAAGCTCAGCAAGTTTGAAAAAAACAGTCACTTTTTGAGAATACACTGCGTAGTGATATTCTGACACCCCTCAAAATTGGACACTTATGTTTTTTCAAATAATGATTTATTTATTGATGTAACAATTGTTATTTTCGATTAATATGTTTAACAGTCATCAGTTGATCACTACAGCTGCCACTTTATCTGAGGCCCATGATATCTCAACAGCTGAGACTGCTAACATGTCTCGCGTTATTCTTTTATCCCGTCTTTGGCTACAGTAAAATTTTCTTTCTTTATCAATTCACCAACTGTCATCTACTTACAGTCAATTTTTGCTGAATTGCATGAGTCACTCGGACTGGAAATGCAAAATCGTCCAACCAAATGCGAAATCTTATAAAGAAGCTCGAATTTGAACTCGGACTCGCCTAGCCTTGCTTTATATAAGAAAATAGAAGATTAATGTCAGATAAGATATATCAGAGCGTGTGCACCTCAATGGTGCAAGGACAACAACATCAGAATACTCAGAAAGTGAAATGAAAACAATTCGAACTGTCACTCTTGGTGAAATGACGATCATAATCTAAGCCGGATACGTTTGGATGATGGTGGTCTGATGAATGACCTTGAATTGATAGCAGGATGTGAACGAACAGCTCCAGAGGCCAAAGAACAATTAACCTTTTAGTTTATAAATCAAATTACGTTTAGCTAAGATGTATTTGTGAAATATTATAAACTGCTATTTTTATTAAGAGATTTTTCTTTAATTATGGGTGGAATATATTGCTGTTACTTATCTATGAGAAGGTATTAAAAATCAATATTGTGGTCATTTTTAAAATTGAAAATCAGCTAAATTAAACGATGTACACAAAAAAGTTTCTATCAGTAGTCATCGACAAATCCAATGTACAAAAATAATAATAAAGGTAAAAATTTAACATTCAGCATCTAAGCATAATACGCATACATAAAGCAAAATGATTCGATTTAAGTTTTTGTCCTTCATTTAAGCTGACAAGGACATTAAAACCATTTTAAGTTCGGCTTTACTAATTTTTTTATCCCGATTGACATCGCAACCATTTAATAACGAACTTTTGAATTGTTGCAAATCTTCATTGTCGTAATCCTAAAATCAGAATTTAAACGTGTATAAATACAAGCTAATTACGAAAACTCGATTCTTTTTATGTTCAGACATTAGTTATGGTAAAAAAATACTATACAGCATTACAATTTACTTAAGCTATTAGTATACATCTTATTCTAAGTAAAGATAGAGATACTATCTTCGAGAAAGAAAAATTGAATAAAGAACAGAGAAAAGTTTTTAAGTTCATTTACTAGAAAATTCGTATAAATTAACTGAAAAATCATAGTACTCAATATGAGTTTTTTGAAAGCTGAACGTCTCGTTTTGAGCTCTTCAAGAATCTCAAAGACGGTTCGTTATATGGGACAAATGAAAAACTCATTTTTGTTATAATGTACTTCATCTGAGCATACTTTTTTAACCAGTTGTATTAAATCGTTGACAAAACCATCAAGTTCTTCTTCTTCGATAATATCATTTCCATCCTATTTGGAAAAAAAGAAATAATTCCGTGGACGAAAAATCAGTGTACTTGCGTGTGTGTTTTCTTTAGTTTTTAGTAAAAATAATACTTAGTTATCAATGAGAAACTTAGATGTCCATGATCTCGTCTAATTTGAATCGAACCGAATCAAATTTTAAAAATTTGTAGTGAAAAAAGTTTTTTCAAAAAATATCATACATACTTTATCATATAATTGAAATACACGATCTAAATCCTGTGATGTTATTGATGCACATCCCTGAGAGAAAAGAAAATTGAGAAAAAATAAGTAAAAAGAATTAAAAGATAGATCAATTACCTTGAAAATTGGTCTCAATAAAAAATTCTCTTTTACAGGTAAAAGCCTATAAGAAATAATAGAGAGACGTTAGAATTAAAATGATCCCATGATAAAACTGCAAATAACATAATGTTGTTCGAGAGAGAGAGAGTAATGTGTGCATAAGTGGAATTGACAATAGGGATACATTGATATTCTCTTACTTTGCCATTTCGCTGAATTGCAATTTACCATCTCCATTCGCATCAAATATATGCAACTAAAAAATACTCATATCATGTTAAGTAGATAATATTATTTCAATATTAGATACTTACGATTGTATCCGTATATTCAATTAATTTTTCTTCGCTTATCGGTTCATATGCCTTAATACCTTTTCGTTTTTCCAATAATGTTTTGATAAACTGTTTTAATTCATCTGCTTCAATATAACCACTACAATCGGTATCAAATTCTTTCCATACCTTCATAAAATCCACACTCGATTCTAACGGATTATCTTTTCGAAATAATAATAAAAAGTTTTCTTCAGTTGGTAAAATTTCAGCTAACTAAAATAGAATAAAATTTTTTCAATTTTTCTATTAAATTATTTTAAATAGTAAAAAAAAAATTTACTTCTCCAATTTCAATTTTACCATCTTCATTTTCGTCATAGGCTTCGAGAAAACAATCTTTCAACTCACGTAAAACACTATCGGGAATCAGCTGTAATTGAGAAAAAACAATCGTATATAAAAATAGTAGTTGAAAAATTTTTCTAATAAACTAAAATTACTTCTGGTCCGACATCAGCAGGATTAACACTTGATGCTAATTCACGTAAAAGATCGTCTAACTCATGACCTTCAATAAATCCATTGCCTAAATAGAAAAATAAATATCAAATTATTTAAAATGTCTATAGTGAGAAAATATTACCATCTGTATCATAATGACTCCAAATTTCCATAAATTGTGCCGCCGTTAATTGTTTCAATTCTTTACTTTGTTCATCACGAAATTGTCGAAGAAAATTTTCTTTTTTTCGTTGTTTATTCGCCATATTAGTGTGTATCTATTCTTGAATTAGAAAAACATGCAAATTTTAATCTGAGAAAAAAAAAAGTGTCTATATGTATGTCAAATTTATTAACATGGCAGAAACGGAATATATATGTACATTATTCATATAAAGAACTCTTCATTTAAATTAGTTAGAAGTTGTGAGTAGTTTTTATGACAATAGAGTGCGACATATACATTGAGAAAAATTATATAAAATACAAAAAAAAAAAAATTTGCTTCACGCATACGATGATGATGTAGCAACTTAACTGAAAAGTATTATTTTATCAAGATTACACTTGAAATGACGTAGTAGATTTCCACTATGATTATTTTAATATACGTTAATGAATTTTATTCTGAGAATCTCTAAAATAAGTTTCTTAGCCCATTTTACACATCACAACAATAGTGTACGATGATATGTAATTTTCTTTGTAGTTCTAGCGATAAAAACTAAATTACTAGTCTCACTTTTAACTTTTCGTATTATACGATAATAAGACATACATATGTTGGTTGAACAATTATAAATCAGATCAGTCAACAACAAGAATCTCTTGCTTTATTAGAAATGTACGTAGTTTTTTTTTTATGGAAAATATTTATTTTTATTTTCTAAAAAATATTTGCAATACATGAAAAACGCGTAAAAATTTTAAGTACAGCATAAAAAGCGTCAATTATTTTGAACTGAGCTAGTGGTGGATTTTGAAGAACGCACTTCATTCTACAAAGCAAGACGCTCTCCAGGATTCTACGATATTCTTTCCGAAAATTATAGGATAGACGAAAAGAGAAAAAATGGTAACGCACAGAGATTCCGGTGGCAGAGTTATGCGTTTTTCATGAATAAAAAAAACAATCAAGCATAAGCAAGTTCAAAACTAGAGCACATTATTTGAATCAGATTCATCTGCACACGAAGTACGGATTTATATTATAAAAACAAAACCACATAGGCTACTTGAACACATGATGTATGTGACAGATTATTGGATCTGCCTCCTTATTAGTTATACTAAGCCTCGTTTAGAGAAAGTTTTAACTGCTCGTACAAATGAGATAGTCTAAAGAGTAAGATATGCAAGCTATTGGGTATGCCCACGATATTGTGCGACCAAAAGTGCATAAGAAGACCCCATGTAGCCCCTTTCAGAGAATTTCTACGTTAAATAGCGCTAAAAAAGCGACTTGCGTACAAAATTTTGCAAAACGGTCAACTAATACACAATTTTGTGTAAAAATTTGCAGAATTTTGCAATAAGTTCACCTTTGTAACCATTTTTTGCGTTACACCACTTATATTATTGCATTTTTTTGCGTAATTCAAGTGATTCACGTAAAAAACATTTTGGTTTTGATAACATGGGGAGTATTTGAAATTCAATCTGAAGTAGAATGCATTAAAGAGCAAACATTTTAAGGAATTTTGGCGAAAATCGTGGGCATATAAGTTGAAGCGTTGCTGAGATTTTTAAAACTGAACTTCAAATTATCAGGAAATTGTGTTTTGGCTCCGAATCTAACTTAGCAATACAAATATTACACAATGCCAACGAAAAAAGAGAAGGATAAGAACAGAAATATTACTTCGCGTAGTTTTTCGTTTTTTCGATCAAGTTTCGTTTATTTTAGAGGGCCACTGTCTGGAATATAATATATTTTTTGTCAAATTAATTGTTAATTTCTGATATGGCAAACTGAAAAATCGATGGAATGTCATCTATCTGCTATATAAATAATGAAAATCATATTTAAAATCAAAACAAACACTGTTTTTCTCAAGAAAAACAAATTTCATTTCACAAACTTCAGTCATAATTTACTTAGTATTTCCTCCATGTGACTCTATAGTTACTAGCCATTTAAATAAAATAAACTGTTATTATGATATTTGGAGAAAAAGAAAGTGGATACACAAAAGTGACAAGCTCCTATTTCTCTCGGTGTTTCGTGAAATTCTTAATTGTCACGTATAACAGTGATTTTTGTTTTGCGTGATTTTAAAACTTTTATCGAGACAGATACAGAAAACCACTTTTAGGAGAAACGGTTACATATGATTAGAAAAATTTTCTGTTTCTGCAGGAAAAAAATTCTCAAAATATTGTTTGTCTAACTGAAGCAACAATATGTGTAAAAGTTCTTGCATTCAACGTCCTATTATAATGTCACTATTCAAAAAAATGTCCATCTAAGTTAAAAATCATATTATAATATTCGACTTCCCACGCCTTATCGAACTAAAATATATTAGAAAAATACAATTATTTGTATTACTAGATGATATTTTCATTCAAAATGAGTATTATATTCGGAATTGGCGTGAAAACCTGCGTCAAACAATCTGCGTCAAAGTATTTATTTGACAAAAAGTATTCATAAAACACATTTTCCTTGGTTTTAGAAGTACTTTTTTTTACTACAAGTGGAACTGAAGGATAGAAAACTAACTTTTATGATTGTTTTATGTTTCTAAAAAAAACGCTTAAATCTGTTGATCAGTGATTTTGCTAAAATTTATTGATACGTTTGCTCTTCAATTTGCTTCCCGTTCACTTTAGATTTCAAATACTCACTTTGTGCACGTTTTGTGACATATGTCGTTGATATATACGATGACTTATAGATTCTAGCTATTCCACAACAATCAAAAGTTGACTTACTATGAATATAATTTAAAATGTAAATTAATAAGTTAATATGGTTTAAAAACGAAAGTTTAATTAAAAAATTAAATACTATTTTTGTCATGGACGGCGAGTGTGACATTAATAAACATAATGCACATTCGTTTTTCTTGTTTCTAGTTATTCTAGAATTTAACCACGAAAATGTTTGTCCGTTTAAATATAAGTGATAATGTAATCAAGTCTTATGACATACACACACAAATACATACACACACGCACATTGAATATTAAATCCCTTGTCAAGTACCAATAACGAATAAAAACGAAAATAAGTCTTTTTATATTATTATTATTATTATTATTAGATAGAAATATAGAAGAAGAAAAAGAAAACAGAAAGTAGAAAAATTTTTTTTTGTCTACTTATTCTTGCAGCTAATAGTAATTGAACTTGGAAAAAAATATGAATATTAGAACAAGTTACAGAACAGAGTATTAGGTTTTTAATAGTCCAGGTCATAAAATGTCCATTTAAGATGGTAACAGTTTGAAGACTCGTAGGTTTTTTTCTCTGTAGAAAGAAGAGAAAAAGCGATATGAAGAAAGATTGACGTGATAAGTGATAGGGTACCAGCTGGTAGAAAACGTCACACCTTTTTTTCGTTTCTTTCAATTTAGAAAAAGATGTTCTTTGATATATACCGATTTTAAACATATGTTGATATTTTAGAAAAATCATAGTGTATACACAAGGGATTGAGAATTTAGTTGTAAGAAATAAATTTTGACACGATAGTATTTGCTAGTAAAAATAGGAAAACATTTGTTATAAGACGTTATTATCTGGCTTTTTCTACTTGATGGACGCAAGGATCAAACAAGTAAATTGTAGATATTAGAAAATTTTAGTCTGTATAAAAAAACTAGTTGCTCTTGAGAACTGTGTTTTAAGGTGAATAAGGGAAAGGGATTGCTCTGTGGAAATAATGTTGAGATCTGTTGATTTATTTTTTTTTATCAAGATGTGTATTGTATGATCTGAAGAATGGGCACAGATAGAAAAGATCGAACAGTATAAATATACGAATAATAATTTGATTTTTCTATCTCGGCTTCCTGATCGATCTACATAAGAGTAGGTATTAGAAATTTTTTTATTATGTCTATTTTCTTGTGAGAGTGTCGTTGAACGGACTCGAAAACCGAACGAAACATTCTGTATTAGTTTTATTTCGAACATAACAAAAACAGACGAAATATCTTAAACAAAAGTTATTAACCGTCAATATATATGATCAATGTACAATATGGTAATTGTCAAATTCATCTATAGTATTCAGATGCATCTTACACTTAAACGTTTTTAGAGATAAAAAAATTGAAATAAATATGCCCTATCTCAAGACTAAATTAATCAGATTTAATCAGATCATGTTTTTACATAACACATTCTAATAATGTAACTTTAGATGAAAATATGTGTATGAATGAATTTTTTCTGTCGCATAGAAATATAAAATTGCTTTACAGTTTTAACAAACACTTCTATCTTCTATTGTCAACTGTAGAAGTTCTAAAATCTATCTAGTTGCCCATGCCGCTTGTACGCAGCTCAATCTAATTACTTTGTATTAATGATCAATATTTTATAATCATTTACTACTATGAAAATTTTCGATTTCTAAATAAAATTATTTTGTGTATTGTCCAATGAATATATATTATTGTTTTAACAGAGTAATAACGTTAGAATCTTTTAAAACAGACAATTTGATTAGTTTTAAAGCGAATTATTACTTACTCGCTGAAGTCGAATTCAATACGATGACTATTGATCTTCGTTGAATTTTCTAATGATTATAGGCGTAATTTGAATAAAAAGAAAATATAGACAATGACATTGAAAAAAAAAAGATGAATACAATATACACACCCAAACAACTATTATTAAGCTTCTTTAGGAAATAATATTATTGTGTTAATGAAACCACGGCAAGAAAAATATCTGAAAAGATAGTACAACATGTGAAATGTATTCAAAAATTTCTCATCAACTATCTGTAGACAATGTGTATGTAATTGTTTTGCTGTTGAATGTCGAGAAAAGGACATCTAATGTTTGTTGACAAAGAACAAAACAAAAAAAAATTAGAAATTTATTGGAGTATATTTTATTTCAACCAACGTTTACGGTTCATTAAAAAACTTATAAGTCAACATGTCTGTTTGTCATGTAAAATTACTATCTAGAAATTCTTCTTTTCTCATTCCAAAAGAAAGAACTCAAAACTCTAACTCTGAAATATGCTTTATAAAAAAACAACAACAAGCGTGTCGTATATCTCTTGGTTGCTCACTAAAC